GTCAAGTACTGTTTTTTTCAGTATAACACTGGGAGGGAAGGAACATAAGACCGCTGGACCAAAACCACCGTGGATTAGGCTGAAGCCAAAGCAAATAGGAAAAAAATGTTCTTTAGTTTTACAATACTCATATTTTTCTGCTTTCTTTTTTCCTCTTCCTCCCTCTCCCTGTCTGTCTTTTGACCAGCACAATATTGGGAAAAACATCTCATCAGAAACCTGCTTGGAGTAACTATAGAGTAGTCCAGTGTTTCTTAATCTTATTTTAAATTGTGTGGACTTTGGTTGCAAGATTTGAGCAAAACGATACAGGGCCCCCACTAAGTTAGAAGTATTCCTCCCCAATTACCATATTTTTCAGACTATAAGATGCACCGGAGTATAAGACACACCAAGATTTTGAAGAGATAAACAAGAAAAAAAAGGTTTTTTCCCTCCTCGGCCCCCAGGAGCACTCTGCAGGCCTCCCAAACCTTCTGTGTGTCCCATGAGAACCCGGATTGTTGGGGGCGATATGCTGACTCTGTAAACCGCTTAGAGAGGGCTGAAAGCCCTATGAAGCGGTATATAAGTCTAACTGCTATTGCTAACTGCTATTTTTCATTTTTCTCTTTGATCTCTCTTTTGAAGTCACCAGCCTAGAAACTAGGAGATAGTAAGTTCTAGTCCCACTTTAGCCATGAAAGCTGGCTGGTTGACTTTGCCCAATCACCAGGAGACTGAGTTCTAGTCCCACATCAGCCATTAAAGCTGGCTGAATGACTTTGGATCAATTATCAGGAGATGGTGAGTTCTAGTCCCACCTTAGCCTTGAAAGCTGATTGGGTGACTTGGGCCTTCACTGGAAGAGTGTGAATTCTGGTCCCACCTTAGCCATGGAAGTTAGCTGGATGACTTTGGGCCAATCCCCAGGAGACTGTGAGTTCTAGTCCCGCCTTTTCCAATGAAATGTCCACTAGCAGATGCAATTCAGACTGACCTTGAAGATGGACATGTTGTTTTCCAGGGAACACCGAAAAGGAGCAGACATTCAATCTGCCACGCAAATGCATCCGGCTATTCTTCCCCACCCGGAAGTGTTTCGTCCTTGAATGCCCTACAAAAAGGAAGAAGTTACCTTTCCTAGAACAGATGGAGGACAGTGAGCTGGAGCCTGAATTTGTGGAACAAGCGAAGTTGTTCTGTCGTTACGTCTATTGGACTTCTCGAGAGAAGACTCTTCCAGGCGGGCACGTTGTCACTGGCAACTGTAAGTTCCTCTAGTTCTACTTTTACTACAGGTAGTCCTCCACCGATTGAGCCCAGAATTTCCATTTCAAAGTGAGACCTTTGTTAAGTGAGTTTTGCTCCAATTTATGACCCATTTTATGACCACTGGAACTATCAGGTTGAGAAGGTTTTAGAGAATGAGAAAGGCAAAATCTTGTGGGACTTCAGAATCCAGACACTGACAAGCACTTGGCCTACAACACACCTGACATAATAATAGTTGGAAAGAAAATGGGTCATGGTTCATTGACATTGCAATACCTGGTGATGCACAAATTGAACATAAACAGCAAGAAAAAAAAATCACAAAATACCAGGACCTGCAAATTGAGGTTGAGTGACTGTGGAAAAAGTAAAATTGAGTGTTGTCCCAATTGTAATTGGAGCCCTTGGAGCAATACCTAAAGGGCTATCTCGCTATTTGGAAATTCTAAATTTACCTGACTTGAACATTCAGACTCTACAAAAAACCACCCTACTTGGAACAGCTTATATCCTCCGACGTTATGTTAACATTCCCTAGGTCCTTGGTTAGGACTCGAGCTGTTGAGCTACCAACCAGCCCCAAAGGCTGTGAATTCTCACCAAAGATTAAAATAATAATAATAATAATAATA